TATCACAGGTTACTCTCTCTCTTACATCTACTGTTAGGACTAATTCTGTCTTCAAAGTCCTTAAATAGTACTGATTAAATGGTATGATTTTAAAAAATTCATGTATTACATTTTTAATAGTAATAATCTACAATTATACAAACCAATCTTTAAGAAATATTATACAACTGGAGATGTTATTAGCAGTTCCTGTATGTCTTTTTACTATTGTAAAAACAAACTTTCTGACTGGAATGGAGAAATGCTGATCATGTGAAATAAGGATTTTTACAGTGCTGCAACTTCTATCCTATTTACGCATTAATTAAATAATGACTTTCATTTAGAAATTTGAAAATTCATTAAAAGAAAAATTTCCACAAATGTGGGCTTTATTTTACTATTTAAAACTTTAATGTTCTAAAAAGGGGTACAAGCTTATTTTACTGTTTATGGCTATTAAATAAAACATTTAAGAAAGCTACAGAACAGTTATAAAAAAACACAGGCTTTGGAGTCATGCCAGAATTCAAATCCTGGTTCTCTGACTAGCTATGGGCTACTGGGAAAGTTATTTCATCCTCTGGACCTCATTTCCTCATGTATAAAATGGGGGTGATAATATGGACTACATTTAGCATTTCACAAGGTTGTTGTATGAAGTGAAAAAATATATAACACACACTGCACAATATATGACCCATAGTAAGAGTCAAATGAAAGGCAGGTCTCACTAATAACGTTATTACTCTTCAATGATCCAGTATAGATGGGGAAAAGATATTCTATATAACTCCTATGAATTTTCCAGATGGTGCATCACTTATTACACAAATGTTATGTACAGGCAAAATTTTAAGCACCACCATTTTTTATTTTAATCATTTCTGGGGCAAATTCTTCCAGAATACTTACCATATTTTTTTGCTTCCTTAAGAGGAGTCAATGAATATAACCTTTATTGGTGCCTAGTACTAATAATTCTGTCTAGATTATCACATTGTATGCTGAGTACAGGTCATACGCAATATGGAAAGTTGTATTCAGTTATGGGCATGGTTCAAGAGATAATGCAGAAGGTGCATCAAGAGGACAATCAGGAGAGTGAAGAGTGAAAACCTACTCACAAAAACTAAGGTTAAGAAAGGATTTCTATTTAGTTTGGAGATGATTTGAGGTGATAAAATAGGTAATTTCAAATATTTTAAGGGTGTCGTGAAAAAGTAGGTAGATTCAGTCAATCTGATTATATCAGAGACAAAACTAGAACAATAGATATGTTACAAGTATCTGTATTAAATATTATGCCAAGGTTTATTTTGATTCTAAGATTCTGTGATCTATACTATTAAATAAAAGAGAGGGCAAATAGGTTTATATATTTAAATAAGAACTCTTGCCACTTTAAAGATGAAGAAAAAATATGATTTATTAGTTTGTTACTTCTTTCAGTAAAAAGACAATAATGATAATATCTGTGATATACAATGGACTTAGTACATCAATTCCTCAAATTAATCACTCCAATAATCCCGCTCTAAATACTGAGTCTCCAAAAAAATCAATTAACGTTAATTTTAGTCTTTTAAAAAAAATGGAGCACAATGCACTATAAATGTTTTTAAATTATATGAGCTACACTTTCAGATATATTTGCCAAATTTATTTCAAGTTCAGATCAATATTGGAATTTAAATGAGAACTTAAGGCAATTTTCAATTTACCTTAATTGCTGTAGAGAGTTAACAGCTTAAATATTTAATTTCAGAACTGGAAATCCACAAAATCATTATGCACAATAGAAAACTGTGATTAGCAAGTGTAAAGCATGTATGTTATACTAACCAATGAGAAGAACTGTTCCAACAGCTAAACCTCCACCTGGAAATGAAACAAAATCAAGAAGAAAATTAATCTACCATTCACATTATCTTTAGCATAGAAGTTAGGCTTTAACAAGGACAGGTACTTCAATAACTTTAAAATTGCAGTTGCAAACAACATTTTAATTACCTTTGCAATACTGTGCTCAAGGTGCTATTATGAAATAATTATATGTTATATGTAATTACACACTACACATTACAATTACTCTCATAACATACTGTACTATCCTCCTTTCTCCTGTGATAGAACTATGCAGCATTCAA